CATTGTCATCGGTTTTGCAAGATCGTCATCGATGTGTGGATGTTGTCATCGATGAGTCGCGCGATTTGGAATGATAACGTGGATGTCATGCTGAGAACACTTACATCACTTTCATAAGACAATCTTTAGCTTCACAACATTGTCATTTGATTTGCAAGATCGTCATCGATGTGTGGATGTTGTCATCGATGAGTCACGTTATTTTGAATGATAACGTGGATATCATGGTGAGAACACTGTCATGATTTTCATATGATAATATGTGGCTTCACAACATTGTATTGTCATCGATGTATGGATGTTGTCATCGATTAGTCATGAATAGTCGCGCGCTGTGGAATGATTATGTGGCTGTCATGTGGGGAACACTGTCATGATTTCTTTTTGATAAACTTGGATTTTGAACCGCAGACCTGACTCAGGGGTAAATGCAGCTATATACATATAAAGAAGATGCTTTACCTCTTTTTGACAAGATTGGGAAGCGGTTGCGTTTTGGCAGCTATGATCAATGTCATCTCGGTTGCCAGAAGTTCTCATGCGCATTCAATCTGGAGAGTGGTGCCGCGTCAAAGTCGGAAGTGTTTTTGATGGCCTCCTCGTGGCAAATCTGGAAAGTGGTCCTTCACCAGGGCAATCACTCAAAGCGATTGTTCAATGTTGAGGAAGGTTTGGCAATGCTCAAACGATCGGCGCCAAGCTGCTTGGGTCCCGGGTTCCGTGAAGAATCCAAAGGCAACCCAGCCATGTGGTGATACTGTCAATCCTTTCAGTGGAGATGGGAGATCTTCAGAAAGATAGGTGACGCACACCGCCGAGATCCGCTTCGCAAACTCTGAATGTGTGCACTGCAGTTCCGATGGAATGTGCGACCTGAACGAGCTGAATGTTCTACGCTGATCAAGTTGTGTCGATTTAGCATTGAAAACCTCTACAACATGGGGGGACCAAGCTTCTTGAGGGGCGTGCATTTTGGACCCCAAAATCTAGACTAAAGGATACTAAAGGTAGTGCCCCCATTTTGTATAGAGGGTCCTCATGGGAAGGTTGGGACCTTTGTACTATAGAGCTGTCCGGGTGATAGTTTAGGCCCCTGATTTTATAGAATATCAAAGCAAGGAAGAAAAAAATCAGAAGTCCAGAATGATCTGGCCTAGCAATGACCGAGTCCAGCATGACCGCGTCGAGCGTCCGCGTCAAAAGTGTTGTCCGTTTGCGGCAGGCTCACGAGCAGTCACTGTAAAATCAAGGGCACAACCTTACCCTAGTTTGGCCTTTTTCTTACTTTAGCAACTCAGATGTTGCAATTGGGTATTTTATAGTGGTTCATGTTGTTGCAATTGTTGAATCGGATGCAGCCGAAAAAGCCACTACGTTGATGTAGATAGATGAGTCTGCTGCTTCTATAGAGAGGCTGTTTTGCCCGTTTTATACCGAAAAAAAACGTTTTATACCCATACCAATGGCCTGACTTCGACCCACTAAACCTCCGAATTCCCATGGGGATCCATATTTATTTGGTATACCACGGATCACCACAGATGTGGTTTTGAGTCCAGTGATTCTTCCTCATGGGCACCTGGTTTCCTCCGCAATAAGACCACGTTGGATTGGATGGCTGCTGGCATCTTTTTCATGTCATCGCATCATCTCCAGAAGAACGGAGTCTTCCCGTCTTCCCTTTATTTGTTTTTGTATTTTTTGCCTACATGTTTTGCTTCCTGAGGATTGGCTTGGCGATCGGAAATCCGACTGAGCTGGTCACTCGACAGTGCTAGTAGCGACGTGGGAAGCAGAAGGTTCGCAGCACGACCCGGTCTTGTCTTCCGATCCAATTGTATCTGACACTGTGAATCATTCATTTTCGGGGTGGTAGGAACATGGCCAGGAATGGTGATCCCACTTGAGGAATGTTTGGGGGCATGGAATGGTTGAAGTCAACAACATGTTTTTCTTGGTAGATGACTTGTTCATTTGATTGGACAACAAGTTGTGGTCAGTGAACAGATGGTTTTCAGTGACAGCAGGTTTGGAGGCACCGCTTTCCAAGCAGAACCGGAAAACCACTGGGTTGTAGAGGAAAATTGTCCTCCAGTCTGGTCCATTTTTCAGGTTCCATGTTAAATTTGCCAGGTGTACCTGTTGGACATGAAACTTGGACACTACTGCTGTGCTAGCGTGGGCCTTCACATTGGACCTCAGAACGAACAGTTTTCCTCACTGGTACAAGGTGGGGTCATTGGGTCAGGCACATCATTGAAGCCAATGGATGAACAGAACTTAAAGGTTTCGTGTTGTGTCACAAAGTTGGCCTGTTCAACCCACAGGAATTTCAATGCACCTGGTCACCTAAAACAATCTAAAACAACATGCTTGAAATCGTGGCTTCCGCATGTTCAAGCAACAATCCAATGGATGAGGCTCAACCATCCCATTGTTTTTTTCATGCCAGGTTGCCAATGCTAAAGGACTTTGACTTGAGTCATTTGACAGCGACAACATTCACATTCTGGAAGGTCTCCTCACATCTCCTCACTCTGTCTACAGACTTGGGGCATGTTCACCACCAGACTTGCTTCCTAGCGTCGTGTCTGGGTCCGACGGAGGAGAATGCCAGCGATGACTTGATCCTCGAATGATCCAGCGGGTGAGTTCGGGAGCGACGACGACACGCGATGACGAGCGACGTCCAGTGGACGACGAGTCGAGCGACGTGGATCCGGATCCGAGTCGCTGGTTCTGGAAAGCATCGGTTCGCAGCTTTGGAAGAAAGAATAGGTCAACTGTTACCAAACTGTTCCGAAAAAAAAAAAAAAAAAAACATGTTTGTATCAATCACTGGGGTTCAAGATGGTCCTCATAATCACCAAAACATGGACCAAACCCGAGATCCAAAAAATGGACTTTCGACCAAGACGAGGAGAGACGCGGAAGTAGTTCCAGGGCGGTTCCAGGGCGTTCTTAGGTGCCGGTCCCGAACGGAGGAAGTGGTTTTCGGTGTCCAGAACGTCCAGTAGATGAGACGAACCACCCACCCGGTCACTCCTGGCATCTGCCCAGACTGGACCCGCATATGGAGGGGGTCCGGACCAACCCAGCCCCCAATCCCGGTTTGGTTCGGGACCCGGTCCTGTCAGGTTGGGAACGAAACCGGAGCGGTTTGGGTAAGTCTGGGTGCTATATTGGTATACCTAGGCCTATCTGGGGGGTTTCGGGAGTCCATTTTGCCATGGTGGATGGTGTAAACATGGAGTGTTTTGGGGACCGAGGGATGTGAACACGAGAATCGACCTACTTCGTTGGCCCTGGCATCCCCAAATCGTCCGAGTACCCGGGCACTGTGCCGGGGTTGAGTTGGTGGAGACCAGTGAAGGAGGCCCAAAACAGGCCGGTTCCGCTTTTGAGTGATGTTTGGGCGATGGTTCAGCGCAAATCTTTCGCTAGGGCTTCTTGCTGCCTGAAACATGCCCAAAACAGGCCCAGTACATGCATGGACTGCGTCATGCCGTGTTCCCAAAAAAACACAGAAGTCGAAGCGTATGGCACACGGGTGATCCAAAACAGGTATGGGAGATTCGGGAGATGGTCGTTTTATTTGTTGTTTAAGGCTGCTTGAAGTGAAATCCAAAGTCTCTATGACATGAAGAGATGATGCAACAAATCGCTTGTAAACTGCAGTACAAAGGCTGGCTACAACAAGGAGCAAGATGAGAAGGCACAAAGACTTTTTACACATTGAGTAGGCTTCGTTGGTCAAATCCTCACAATCATTTTGGAAAACCACGTGATGCCAAGATCACAGGTGGTGATGGTAGATGAGGATGCATCGAGTAAACTCACATGAAGTTAAACCAAGAACATCCAAGAACAGCAACGGATTTGCACCATGCAGATCATGTGGGTGTGTATTTGGGCCAAACAGACACCCTGGCCCAATAAGTCGAGGACCGGTCTATGTCCGCGAAACCGACCCGACACACGTTGCCGGCCGATCCGCTGGATCGGCGGATCCGCGGGATCCGCCAACACCCCCCCACTCCAACGCCCTGTTTTGCTCAGGAAGCAACGAGCCAAGGCAAAGCTCAGCAAGGCCGTCAGGAGCGGTGTGTGTCGAGCAGGGAGTCTAGAGCCGGCTCAGCTGAGCCATCAACTCGAGAGAAAAAGAAACACACAGGAGTTCCCTAAGGATTCAGTCCATGTCGTGTTTTTCTTTTTCAGCTACAAGATGCTACAAGAATATTTTTGGAATCAAAACAGTGAATACATGTCATGTATTGAAGGGAACCTGTTTTCCGCGAGCAGGCCGGCCTGCGAAGTGACCCAATCAGGCATGTACCTGAACAGGCGAAATCCTTCCCATTCACCCTGTCTTCGCGAGCGGATCTTTGTTCATCTTGATGCAGTCACTGAGCCTGTTCCTGCCACAGGCGATAGGAGGACGCACCCAGAGAACCCCGTTCGTACAGGTATTCAACAGTGTGAGGTGTTCCATCCCGTTTTTTCACGAACGAAACAGTGCATGAAAAACAAACCATTTGCTCAACACATACTCCCAGGTGGCTAGATACTAGTTCATCCTGCCGTGCCTGCTGTACCTGTAGGGTTCTCCTCTTCAGGAGGGTGTTCTCCACCATTTGCTGAAGTTGCGCTGCAGGATGATCGGCCTCACCTTCAACTTGAGCAAGGAAGCCAAGGAGGCGAAGGACAGCGCTGCGGGGGCGCTGCCCAGCGGTATTTCTCTTCCTTGATCGGTCCAAAACGTGCCCCCCCCAAGGAAAAAACAGACAGACTGTGGCTGGGAGTACACGGGAGTCACTTGGTGGACTTGAGAGATGGAACCTATCGCTTTGTTTCCCAGACACTCCATGTATGCCATATATGCCTACATTGGGGTGGTTTTGGGGGTCAATGGGGCGGCATATATGGCAGTCCCATGGAGTGTCTGGGTTTGGATGTTTTCAGGACTTTTCCAAAGAAATCCAGATCTCTTTCGGTCGATGTTCGGCCGGCCGTTCATGATGAACGACCCCTCCTTCTAATCCTTCTATAGATCTTGCAAGGTCGGGGGGTTGGAACGCCATGCCTGCGAGGTCAGCCCCATGCAATTTCGAGGTTGGACAAAAACCCAAGTCATCGGAAACAGCACCTCTTGGCGCACCTCCAACAGCTGCGAACAGCACCTCCAACAGCTCCAAATAGCACCTCAGGGGCCATGCCACGTTGGCATTTCCATGATCTCAGCCTCGGTGGGGCGGCCGGCGGCCGCGGGGGGGAAGAGGTGTTATGTTTTGACCATTTGGTTGACTATATGAGTGGTGGTTTTTCAATGTTTTAGATATGTTCAATGGTGTTCAACCTTTAGTTACTTGGGATGATTGAACCAGTTGTTTATTTGTTGCTTGCTTTTGATTGGCATGACCAGATACTATGACTATGACCTTCACATTGAACCAATTATATCTCTTTAAGACCTCAAGGATGATTCTTCAACTGTGGACGCTGAACGTGAAGAGTGGCTTTGAGGTGACGAACTGAGTCTGACGAACTGAGTCTCCATGTTAGGTTCCGTGGACTGCTAACCTGTTCGGAGGGGCTCAGATGAAATCTCTGCGGTCGAGATCGGGAACACCAGCTGTCATATAAAGCTGTTTCACTGAATTCAGACCATCTTTTCCAAGAGGACACCATAGGACACCAATGAGATGCGATTTTCCTTGGTGCAAATACAGGAGGAACGAAACAGAATTTGATGCAAGGCTACTGAGGTATTAATATCCACCTCCCACTCAGACAAGGAGTAGGAGAATGTGTTTACGTTGTTTGACAACACAGTTTACAGTACATGTGTGTTAATGTCTTTGCTAGATCAGCATTTATGTGGTTGGGTATCACAATCACATAGACTTTAACATGAATTCGTGGGTTCCTGGTCGTGGGTTCCTGGCCTACCTCCGTGTCCGTTCGGTGTTTGAAATAGCTTTTGAGAATCATGTGCACTCCTTTGAAAGCATCACCCACCACCTGTTTGGTATTCGGAAAATGATCGTCCAACGGGCCATGGCATCCACATAACTATGTTTGTTCCAGGGAGTGCAGTACCTTCTGAGAAGCTTAGAAACTGGAGGGGAATTCATGGCAACTTCCGGGGGGGAAATCCACCAAAGCCATAGCAGATATTTGCTCGGAACATGTAGCCGCGTTGGTTTCTTCTCGAAGAGGCACCCCTGGACTTGCGTACCAGCTGGCCATCTTCGTCCAGCAATTCATGAACGGTGTACCGTGACCTCAAATCGATTCCCACATCGGATTGCGTACGTTTAATTGGACATCATGCCATCCCAGACCATTAATAGAAATATATAGAAATACAGCATGGCACGTTACCCCGCCCCCAAACCACCCCAATGTATGTCAGTTCGATGGTCTTGGCAAGAAGAAGCTTCCAGAAGCCCGAGCGACGTGGGATCCCTCCACCACATCTTCGTTTCCAGAGCTCCCAGGATTCGTTTCCTCTCCAAGATTCCTTTAAGAGACATGGGGCCTGGGGACCCCCCCAAATGAACAACCCATCTGGGACCGGGCATCGACCCCCCTCATGACTTATTCCGAAAAGGACATCCATTCGATTTGGATCTGCGGAACCCTTCGAATTCCAACCATTCCAGGAGAAGTCGGAGCAAGTCCCAACAGAGCCATGGCCTTGGCACTGCGATGGCACTCGGTCGTTGAGTCGTTGCGAAACGTTTCGGTTTGACTGGTTGACCCTGCTGGGAAGTAGGACAAAGGACAAGTTTAAGCAGTTACTATGTAGGACTGGCTTAAGCTACTGATGTGAATGAATGATTAGAATTGAGAAAGCTGCAGGGAATTGGGTAAATTTAGGATAATTACTTGGCCATTTATGCACATTTTACCCTTTTACTCAAGCTCCTGACCGGTTGGTATGAAGCTCATTTTGAGCTTTATTGACTATGAGTCTATGGAGTTTCAGGGCACTGCCCCAATCGCATGTTCCATTCCAAGTCGTCTTCTGCGTGATTGTGTCGATACCATGTGTTGGGTGTGCGTATCACGTCTGCGATCCTCATGAATCCTGGTTTGGAACATCCAAACCCGAATCTTCCCTACCAAAATCCAAAACACAGCCGCGTCAGACAAAATCCATCACATGCAACATCCATCCCTCCCTTGCGGTCAGTGCGCGCCCACGGCCGACGAGAGCGGTGAGCGGTCCGCACCAGACACATGCAACATTCCTACCATCCCAATCCCTACCTTTCGTTCATCCAACACATGTCCTACGTTTGATTGGTGGGCTGTTGCTTCTACACAACGCATTGATTCATATTACCCTTTGACTCACGTACGTGGAAGTGGACCACTGGATCGGAATTCCCATACAGGCAGCGGAAGTGGTCCACTTCCATCAGTCGGTTTGCATAGGAAGCGGAAGTGGTCCAGGTTCCACAACAGGGTTGTGTTTGTCCTTTTTTACCTTTTTTACCCTGTCTTCATGAGTGGGTTGTGTCCACTTCACCGAGTCCCTGTATTTGTTCCTTTTTCTTTTTGTCCCGACTCCTTTTTCAAAGCGCTCCGAGATGTTCTGTAGGTATATCGTCACATGGAGCGTCAAGGAACAGCTTTGGGCAAACAGTCTAGGGTGAGGTGATGCGGCCAGTGTTCCGCCATCCCCCAGATATCGATAGCTGTGGGGTTCTTACTTCAAAGAATGAACTGGCTGTGCGTGCTTTCAAGACAGGGCGGCGGTGCTGGTGCTTAGTGCTGGTGCCTCTGCAAGCTGGCTGTGCGGGCTATCGAGCTTTCGAGACAGGGTGTTTGTCCTGGTGCTGGGTGCTGGTGCTGGGTGAGCTGGCTGTTTGCACTTTCAAAACAGGGTGTCGGTGCAGGGTGCTGGTGCCGCTGCGAGCAGGCTGCGCGCGCTTTTCGATTCAATATCTTGTGCCATTTGGGGTCGATGCTGGAGTCGCCGGGGGCCATTTGTTCGTCCGCGCGGCCAGGCTCTCCGTGGGTGAGGAGATCGGAGCGTCCGGATGTGCAGAGATGAGAACCGGGGTCTTTAATCCATGTAGTTCGTCCACCCAACAAGGAGTTCGTGAGATCGTTTGATTTGGACCTAATATATTAGTCAACATTATACATATTACTGTTCATATGCAACTATACCTACCTTGTGCAGAGTTTCATGGTGCTTGGTGTTTGGGCAACACAACACCCTGGGGGTGTTCATGGTGTCGGCACAGAACACCGGTGTCACCGTGAAAACATGTGAAGTGTACATATCCAGGTGGCCATGTACCTCTGGAGGTGGCCACTCGCAGCCATTGGCAAGTGGACCCCAGAATCGAAGGGTTGCTTGGGGGCCAAAAATGGTCATCTGACATGCTCTTAAGTTTAGGATTGGGCTTGAAATCCCCAGTGGGTTCCCAGCCTTACGAACTGTACAGACTAGAAATGTTCCCAGCCAAGATTCTCCACCAAGTGTGAAGACGAGGTTCCACCACTTGCATGCAACAGTGGAAAGAGCGCAAACATGCGCCAACATCATTCAGACTCAGTAGTAAAACCTGGTCTTTACATCATTAATTATGATCAACTCCAATGAGGTCTTTAACCTGCAAGGAGACCTTCTCAGACAAATCATCAATCCACTGTACAAGGTCTATCAGTCCAACACCAGATCCGGAGACCAACTCCAGATCCGGAGACCAAGCCTCAAGATTGGTAAGGATTCTTCATCAAAACGATCCCAGACGACGTCTTAGGACTGGCATATTTCTACACCCGTTTGGGCTCCGATCGTCCCATCTCCTCAGGTTCGGTGGCATTCGACCCCCCCTGGCACCCACCCCTGGCCCATCGAACCTCACGGAGGTGGGCCAGGAGCCCTAGGGACATACATTGACCCCCTATTTTCAAGCACCCAAAAGGCCTTTTCTCGGGAGTCCGTCCTGACAGTCCCAGACAGGTCGTGTCTGGGCTATGGATCCATCGAACATGAAGTGAGAATCCCGTTTGGCCTCCAGTCGTACTGAACCTGAGGTTCATTGAAACTGGGGTGGGTGCCAGGAGGGTCTAGTCATACCTTCTGAGGAGGTATGACTGGAGGTGTAGGGGGAATAGACTACGAGTCGGAGCTCAATGGACGAGTCGGGTGTCTTCCCACCCCGGAACGCAGCCTGCAGGACGGGGACGCGCCGCAACGCTCGCAGACACAGGGAGGACGGCGTCGAAGTTCCCTGTCCCTGCAGAGCTTACGGAGATCTTCCACGGTGGGGGTGACCTGGCGTTGAAAAGGGGCACCGGATCTTGAAGGGGAACATCGCCATAAAAGAGTGACTGACCTACAGTGGGGGTCATGGGCCAATGGGGTGTTCATGCATGTAACTATTCGGAGGTTGGAGGGAATCAGGGCAAAATCCAGGACAGCCTTCTGGGAAAAGAACAAACCCTTTGATTGGATGCCGCTTGGTTGCAAGTCCAAGAAAAGAACACTTGGGAGCACAGGCAAATTCAGATCATTCAGAAGCCACATATAAGGGGGAATGAGCAGGAGCTTCAAACATGAAGCCAGTAATGCATACAGCAGTATGCGCTAGCGGCGAACGCCCTTTCAAGTCACTCGCTGCTTGCCACATGCCGAGATCGGCTTTGCTTAGCCAACGGAGCTACTGGAGCCACTGAAGCTTAGCCTAGTCCTCATGACTACTTAGCTTACTTAAGCTTAGTAGCTAAGCTTAGCTCAACTGCTACTGAAGCTTAGACTATAGGAGTGGTAACCACCAGCCGCTGTCGTTCACCGAAAACTCCGTGTGTTTCGTGGAAGGCGCGGGACTCGTGTCGTCCCAGGGGACCTCTGAGGCGGTTTGGATCCCGTCAGTGGATATCAAGTAAATTCAAGTGAACATCCCAGGTCACCTGGCTGGTTTCGCCCCAGCCCACCACTTCGGGACCTCCAGCCAGGACACCCCGAAAGAAGGTCCAGGTCTGTTTTTGTTTGGAGGGGGACTGTGTTTCCACCCACGTTTCCCATGCACCAAAAACATGACAAAGACCCTATAGGCAGAAGTCCAGTTCAACGCGGCAACGAGACGTTGACCCAGTGAGGGTTTCAGGAAGTGTCCTCAGCTCACCAGACGTCAAACCATTCGATGACGTCAACGTCTTTTCCGGGTTTTTCACCCGTTTGTTCGGCTGGCCGGTCAACGGTTGGTTCGTCCGTGCGGGATCCACATAAGTAGGCTTTTTTCAGAATCCCTAGGGATCCAAGTACCTTCTCAGAAGGTGTTTGGAGTGGGTTTGGAGGGTCCAGGTGCCTTCTGAGAAGGTAATTGGATCTTTAGGGAATGTATGACTGGGCCCTCCTGGCGCCTACTTACCCTAGGGCGACAAAAACCATATCTTCAGGTGACCGGTGGTCAAAAGACCCCCCCGGAAAGACCCCCACCAGCCTTCGAAACGAAAACGGGGCGGACGAACGGAGCCCAAACGGGTGAAAGTCTCCAATCACCTTGTCAGGTTCGGTATGATCCCCAAACACTCCATGTATGCCATATATGCCTACATTGGGGTGGTTTTGGAGGTCAATGTAGGCATATATGGCACACATGGAGTGTCTGGGATCCATAAGGCCTGGGAAGCTGAGGCCTTTGCCCAGTCCAAGGGCCTTGCTTCACTCCTCGTGGGTGGCGCACCTTCTTCGGGTGGAGGCGATGGCACGAGCGATGCCGAGGACGGGGCGGGCGAGTTGGGGGATGCAGAAAGCAACCTGACTTCATTACTGAACCACCATGTGTACTTGTTGTCAAGCGGAAGATGTCTTCCCAGAAGTGGTCGAGAGTCGGGCTAATGAAAAAAAATGCCTATAGCATGCTGCTATAGCTGATAGTTTTCGTGTGAAAGACTTGATTCTCCAGCTTGAGTGCTTCAGAATTGGGCTTTCGGGGGCTTTTTTGAAGGAGCCTCACCAGAACTGGGACCGCATCTCAAGTGCTAGAATGCTTGGCTTGTGGGTGGTCCCCCTATATAGAGGTTCGGTGCAGCTTTGCTGCGTCAGTATGTAGCCTAAGCCAACATATTGACTTTTGTATGTAGAATATCAGCAGATGGCTTCACCCCAAATTATATAGCCTGTCAGCGCTGTCAGATATCCAGATCTTCTCGCTCTCGAATCCATTTGGATTTGTCCTACATGCAATTCCTAACTGAAAAATGAGGCGCAAAGAAAGTAACTGATAGTGCCTTGCTTCTTTGCATTGCTGGTTTGGGCTGGCCTTGACTTGAGAGAACCAGGCCTCGACTTGGTTTCATGTGAGGATTTGGATTTGGATTTGCATGCCGAAGGGGGGCTGCATACATCATGCAGCTACCTTATCCTTGGAGCCAAAAGAGCTGATTCCCCAAATGGCTTCGAGAGAACAACTGCGAGAGGAACTAGAACATCGCATGAAGTGGCCATGTCCAAAACCTTTCCGGTCACTGTGGTTGCTCACCATGTCGAGGGTTTCAAGGCGAAGGTTCGTACGTTCAAGTTGCTTGAGGAGTTTAAGGTGCCAATGCGTGAGCCCTACAGCCCTACAGGTCAAAGACCTCATAAAGCCCCCACTCAATGAGGTCACCGGGCACGGTTTTACGTGGTCTTAGGATCCGTAAGGATCCGGGGTTGGGGGAAATCGCAATCTGCACCCCCCGCGATCGACGAAACCGGCTTCCAATCCTGAGGCGGTTTTTCTGCGCAGATACTCCGGAATGATCCATGGGGCTGGAAAAAGCATCTTCGGTTATGTTCGGTTGGCATCTCGACGGGTCACCTGGATCGAAGAGCTCTTTTCTCGGACGACCTGCAGGACGAGTCGAGCCCACAAAGCGCTGATTGGCAGCGGTCCAAGTCCATGAAAAGCCAACCGACCATGACAAAAGCTGCTTGGAGCGACCAAGGATGTGCCAGTTTTGGTCAAGTATGGTCAATTCATTACCGGGTATATTCAAGGACTCTTCCAGAATATCAAGATAAACAGCCAAGTACCTGGTACATGAGATTGTGGACTGAGTCGTAAGGGTAAGACTGTTTTTGGGTCACCGGGCACACCACTGTTTCCTCTACAAACGTCGTGCGTGGATTTCACTGCTGAGGGTCCGTCCTGGCGAGTTCTCGACCAAATACTTCTCAGCATTTGCAGATGTCAAGATACGGAAGATACCATCCATAGCAGGCCATAGTCAGTATAACTTTCCGAGTGGATCTCACCATCTACAGAACCAACCTTTGGGATCCTTTCGGTCAGTCGACAGCATCAGTACTAGTTACTAGTCGACTAGAAGCCGCTAGTTGCGGTGTTTTTGTGCCTCGACTCGATACAAGTTGGTGACTGTCCCACCGCTTCCTTCGCACCAACCCACCCAGGTGACCGACCTTTTTAAGGTGCGGCCAGTCCGGACCGGGCCACCCAGTCTGTCCGTTTTGGGCTTAATATGTCGAACGAAGAAACGTTGGGCCTGAACTGCGCCGCGCCAGAAAGCGCCCTTGGGGGAACGAAAACGAAGTCCCAAGAAAACCCTCAGGTCAACCTGGACGCGCCCATCGACCGTGGCTCGCCCCGCCGTCGCAGCTCGCTGACCTCCGCAGCCTCCGCCGTGCTCGCTGCCGCTCGGTGGTTCCTTGCGTGGGCGAAGCTGGGGGATACGAAGCCCATGCGAAGCGGACCGGAGCTCGGTCAAGGTCTAGGTGGGTGTGAATTGACATAGGGCGACCTCCCAGGCAACGACCTCCTGAGGAAGTTGAAATATACTGGTCTACCCATTGGCTATATGTCTCCCTATATTCATGTACAGTACACACCCATTGTCACCAAAAATCTGGGAGTTGCACCGTTCAAAAGATCGAAATGTGTTCAAAGTCTATGCGGGTTTGGGATCAATGACTGCAGTGACTGCAAGTAGATGCAAGTAGTGGGTTAGATATATAGTGCAGCTCTCAGTTTGAGGAACTGCAGAAGTTCAAGGGTGGGCTCAAATGTTGACGACTTCTTAACGTGGGTACGTGGAAACTAATTATTTGTGTTTGCAAATATATGCTCATCCCTCCCATGAGCTGGGGTTCATGGTTCCAAACGCAGATACAGGTTGGTTTCGACTGGATTCTTGCTTCCATGGCTTCATGACTCAGGTTTGTCACCCCTGATTTGCCAGTGTTTCTTTCAGTGAAGAATTGTTTGCCCAGCCTTGGAGCACTTTGTTTCGTCTTAAAACAAGGAGGAAGGTGCTCTAGAGATTCAGAACCGATCTTGAACCATTTCAATGGGCGCTGGACCACCCCTCAAGGCCAGGGCACCGTTTCTGCCAGGCCTCTCCACGTCGCTCCTTGCGGCGGATGTCCACTGGACGGCGGACCAGCCTCACCTTTGGGCCGCTGGGCGAACGCGAGACAAGAACACTACTTGGATAAGGTCTACTGCATGGGTTTGCTAAGTTGAGTTACTTGGGAAAGTGGAAGGTCAGAAGTGCACCTACAGTATGTTGATGGATTCTTAAGGTCTTCCATAGTAAGGGCAGTGGGTGTCCATGATGTTTTTGATGGTGTGAAGGAGAAAACAAGGCAAACGGCTGGCCCACGGGCGTCTGGTGGAAGGGAAGTGAGAAGGCGGATTCCAACACTGGACCTTGCAGTGACAACGGATCTGTCATGTTCATGGGATGATGCAAGGTGCACTCGTACGGACGGCCCGTGCTGTTGAAATGGTACCAAACACTGGATTCATCTCAAGAATCAAGTCCAAGCCCTCCTGAATCATATTTCCCTCACACTGGGTTTGTGGAGACGTCAAGTGTTATTTTTACGTGATTTTGTGAAGTCCATGTAGTCCAGGTGCTTTCTAAATTCAAGGTCTCCAATCACGGACTCGAATGAATCATCGCTTAGCTGACCGCATGTGTCCAATCAGAGATGCTGGGGCCCTGGAAGGGCACAGACTTAGACTTTCTGTGTCTCGAGATCCATCTGAAACTGAAATAGCAGCTTCTTCAGTTCCTGACCATCTTTGGACCCTTTTCATGAGGCCTTTTCATGACCTCATACCAGGAGATCAAGCTTGGTCACTGAAGAACCAGCGAATACTAATTATAATTTATATACTTTAGTTGATTCACCACCAGATACTCGGGAGAATCTTCCGGATATGGCGGCCAGTAAGAGACTGCCCTTCCTCTTGGAGATGGCCAGGGGAGGCATTTCTGATGCAGACACCTGGTCTGTTCGTTGCAGACTCCTGGTCCTGGAACCATCCATGGGACTGGAACAGCCATACATGTACCGCTAGCAAGCTAACACCAATGCAAGGTCATGTTTGTTTGGTGAACTGAGAGCAGCCAGGCTGGAAGATGAACCGGAGGCTCCTACAGAGGACGGTTGGTGCAGTGAAGCTGCCGGACGTCTTTTTCATGGTGCAGTCCTCATGAGTGGACTGCTAGTCCTCATGCTGGTCACGTCGGTGGTCGCGAAATCGGCTGAACAGAGTGGTGACATGGATTCCCCGACACGACTAATGGGACTGCCATATTTGCCGATCAGTTGGGGTGGTTTTGGGGGTCAATGTAGGGACATGGAGTGTCTGGGATTGGTCAGTTTTTGGGTGTTGTGAAGAGCTTACATTCCAGAACCGGGCCGAAGTTTGTCCGGGCGAGTGTGAAGACCCCTGATTGGGAATACCAGGCTATAGTAGTGATCTTTCCATCTTGGCTATCCGGATTCGGATCAAAGTTTATTCACCAAGCCGAACGTGTTCTTTGGACCCAGGCTAACTCTGAATCATTCTGAATCTCTGAGAATCTAATTAAGTCCCTAGGGATCCAAGTACCTTCTCAGAAGGTGTTTGGAGTGGGTTTGGAGGGTCCAGGTGCCTTCTGAGAAGGTAATTGGATCCCTAGGGAGTGGTTAACATAAACCTAAGCCTTCGAAATCAGCCACCTCTCCGCCAAAAGGCGCAGACCGAGTAGGAAGCAGACAGAGGAATGACTCCACGCACCCCACCGGTGCGTGCGCACCGCCTGCCGCACGCGTTCGCGCGAGGAGACCTATGACTTTCTGGAGCCGGTCTGGCAAAGCCGCACCGCGCGCGAGGGCTCCGGCGCCGACTCGGACGTGCGGCGAGCAGAGCGTGAACCCGTAGAGGTGGGACCCGAGAGTGTTGCGGAACCCGCTGGGTGGTGGTAATTGAAGATTTGGATGTTCAGCCATTTTCAGTACTTAACTGACTCAGATTGTTTGATATTTGTCGCCAACTTGAAACCACAATGCAGAAAGTCATCGCATTCTTCCATTCCTGGTAGTCCAAGCTGTTCGTTTTCAGCTTCGGCAGTCGCATCCACCCTCAGCCTGGTCGCGACGAGGTGTATACGGTTCTCAGGGAGTCGTAGCCGGTCACAGACTTTGACGGACGAAGCTTCGGTCGTGACGAGTCACGAAGCGAAGCTGGACATCACAGATGGAGATTCTTCCGCCTACCTACAGAGGTTAAGTGACCTGAACTAGGACCCTACAGGAGTACCCATAGGATAGTCTAGTTCGGGTTCTTCAACCTTTGCTGTTGTTGGTGGATCTTGGTGAGGTCGACCATCTGCCATCTACCGTTCCTTCCCGTTACTTCACGCAATGAGAGTCATGAGGAATGTGGGAGGCATGACCATCCATATACCGCTTTTGATGTTCGGATCATCTTGGACCCTGAAAAAAACACATCGTGATTTGTAGCATTTTTCTACAAGTTTTGTGTGTGTTCTTTCTGAAGGCTCTTAGTGCAATGACATTGAGCAGGCCATGCCATGTTCGACACAAAACCTTCCAAAGGCTTCAGTGTAGTCAGTGTAGTCGACAGATTGGAACTTGAGGTGTTTTTTGCCGGGGCCTGGAGCGAAGCTGAAGGCTGAAGCTCTTCTTGGAGCTAGGCATGCTGACTGGTGCTTAGTAGGGAATAAGAGAATGAGCCCCTAATAGAGATTCTATTGGATCCAGCCACCCTCATTCCCTGCAAGACGCACCAGGTAGGCATGTTTGGGAAAGAGGAGAAGCAAACCAACAGAAGTTAAGTGACCTTATAGGACCCGTAAGCTTATAGGACCCTTATAGGATAGCCTATAGGGTTCTTCAACCTCTGGAACACTGCCGCGGTCCACGCCACGCCAGGAGATGGACCGGTTGAAGCAGTTCAGTGAGATCGAAGCGAGGCGGCGCGGTCCGGCAACCGCGTCGAGCGGTTTCGATGCTGTTCGAGCTGATGATGAAGTGGTGTTGGGCTTTGAAAAAATCGCTGAACGATGCAGAACCTCACCTATCTTAGAATATCTCGTCGAAAGGAGTGGTCTCATATTCCGTGTTGATGATATTTGACGGGTGTCTTCGGGAGGTTGCAAACGGGTTCTGGTTGGGCTGTTTAGTTTGGTGGAACTCTTGCTCGATTGATTCTAAGATGTTTTCAGCTGGTCACCCCCCCTCTCTGTTCACGTTGCAAGTCCGGGAAAAAAAACAGTGTGACGGTGTGACGAGTCAGAGGGTCATGCCAATGGCCAGCCATGTCACAGCCCGTCCCGTGGCAGGAACTGAGTCCCAATATGTCCCCAATGATCCTACCCTCAGAATCTATAGACCCTCCATAGCAGGCGGTTTGGATCCTCAATCGAAGCAGGGGTTTGGACCAGAGGTCAAGGTCACAGTAGTTTACAGTAGAAGCAGTGCGCATTCAGTGCACAACGAAGGGATCACAGTGGATGGCAAAATCTCAATTCAAAAGATCCAGGAACGAGATCCAGGGCTGCACGACGCTATCGTGAATGGTTTGCCGTGGCGCATGATCACCAAAGCAGTTGCCCAGAATTTCCCTCCATTGCTACCTTTGATCCAGCAGTGCGGCAACGCCAGCCTGGTCAAAGGCGAAGGCGAGCTGCAAATCCTCAGAAGGCTACACTCGCATTCAATGGCGGCATAGTTCCAGCATGGTCCTGTGTTTCGCAGCAGTCTGCACCCACGTGCTGGCAATGCAGATGTTGCAGCAGCAGGAGGAGCGCTGGCAGTAGGTGCTGCTACGACTGTCGGCAGGCTGATGGAAACTGCCACTACATTCTTTTCCGCTGGCCATGTAGCATTTCTATTCATTAATTTGTCTCCCAGGTCTGTCACTGCTGGTGTCCGCCCTTTTCCGCTGGCCATGTAGCATTTCTATTCGTTTTTCATTTGTCTCTCAAGTCTGTCACTGGTTACCGCCCTTTTCCGCTGGCAATATAGCATTTCTTTTCATGGTCTGTCACTGCTGGTGTCCGCCCTTTTCCGTTAGCCATGTACCATTTCATTTCTACGCATTTGTCTCCCAGGTCTGTCGCTGCTGGTGTCTGCTGTCACTGGTGGTGTCCGCCCTTTTCCGCTGGCCATGCAGCATTTCTATTCATTTGTCTCCCACTGTCACGGCTGGTGTCCACCCTTCTCCGCTGGCCATGCAGCATTTCTATTCATGTGTCTCCCACTATCACTGCTGGTGTCCGCTCTTTTCCGGTGGCCCTGCTGCAATTTCTATTCAAGTGTCTCCCGCTGTCAATGCTCC